GTGTTTTGTTACCTTCACCTGAGCATTCCCAGTCAGGTGTGTTATAAATATGTGACAAGCTTTCCAGACTGGTGGCAGGAAGATAACTGGAAGATACAGTCCCTTCTCTGGTGATTGCATCCTTTGATTTCTTACACAGGTGAGGTGGAGGATGACCTGAAGGCTGTTGTTCATGTCCTCCCACCTGCTACTCTGTCCTGTGCACTGAATAAATCCTTTGGTTCAAGTCTGTGTGGAGTGTGCAGTGTCTTGCTGCCGGATCTGAAGGCCTGGGGGCCACTTATTTTACCTGTAAAATGCTCCTGACCGTGTGCTCAGGGAGAATTGCTAAAAACCAGCGTGACTTTTGGAGGGGCTGAAGGATTTTTTTGGGCTTTCCAAAAGCACCCAGGTGCTGCTTTTTGTAAGGGTGTAACTTAGTGTTTTTAAACCCGTGTAAAAGCAGCATGAGGAGGAGTTTGAGATGACATGGGGATTGAGGATGAGGTAGGGAATTTTTCCCGGGCACCCAGCTGAGTGCAAAGCAAAAATGTGTCCCCACCAGGAATTTTTGGGCAAGGAAAGGCAGAGAAAGAGAGCTCAGAGAAAACAAACCAACCAAACACCAAATCAAAACTTCAGCTGGAGCCCTTCTGCCTCCCTGTTTTAGGAAGCCCAGCACCATCCTCTCACTCCCTAAACACACAAAATTCCATCTTTGCAGCACAGAAAGAAGTGAAATACAAGTGTGTGTCCCCAGACCCTGTGTTTCTGCAGCATTTCCATGTCAGGACATCCATCTGGGAGCAGCATGTGAGGGGAAAGCGTGTGAGGCAGAAACTCCCAGCGCAGGAGCAACGCTGGCCTCCCACCTTTGCTTTTTTTTTTGCTTTTCCCAGCAGAGCTGCCCTGCAGGCTCCACACTTCCCTTCTCCCAAAATCCTGCTGCAAGGAGCCCAGCAGCACCAGCTCTGCTGCAGGGAAGCAGCTGCCCGTGGGGTGTTTTGAGGTCACGGTCGCGGCCGGCCCAGCAATGCAGTGACCGGCAGATGGCACTGGGAGAGACACCACTGAGAGCTGGGCAGCTCACAATTCACTGCACAGATCCCTGCCCACAGCGCAGAGCTTTATTTAATCGCCAGCTTCACATGTAGTTAAGAATCAGATTAAAAATAACCTCCTGCCCAGGTGCCGTGGCTGCTGCACGTTCTCGGTGCAGGCTGAGCTGCTGTTCCCGAGCTGCTCTGTGGGGGAAAAAATCCATCCTGGGGTTATGGAGAGATGATAAAAGTGAAGCCAGAGCAGCTGCTGTTCCCCTGGGGTGAGGGCTGAGGGGCTGGAGCTGGGATTGCAATTCAGAACCACGTTTGGTTTTGTGTCTGGGTGAAGGAGAGAGTAGCGTGAATTCCCCAGAAACAATAAAAAGAGCAGAAGAGCATTTCTCCTCCCAGCAAAGTCAGGGCACTTGGGCAATAGCTGATTTTTTGCAGAGCTGGAACACACCCCTGCTCCATCACTGAGAGCCACCGAGGTGCTGCTGATTAACAGCCTCCAAAATAATTTTTAGGATTTGAGTATTTTATCATTATTTTTGGGCTAGTGAACTTTGTGAAAACTGTTGAGGTTTCGTTTTCCTTAAGGTTTTGACTTCTGGAGACATGCTGTTGTGCAAGGACCTATTTATAGAGTTCCTTGCAGCAGAAAACTCCAAACCAGGAGGAAATCCGCTTCCCTCCTCCCCCTGCACCCCAGGACAGCAGGGCTGAGCCCTTCTCACACAGGCATTTGGGGTGGTGCGGTTTAATCCTAAATTAGGGGGCCTAGGCAGGGGCAGGGTTTGGTGTGGAGCACAGGGGAGGACACAGGACATTCAAGGGAGACTTTAAAAGCATTTCCACTCCATTTCTGGGGTTGGCACCCCTGGCACTGGGGGTGGCCCTGGCAAAGATGCTGCCAGGTCCTTCCAGCCCCACAGTCACACGTGGT